TTGTATGGGAGGAGGCGGTCCCAAAGATAGGTTGGACCCAAGCCATTTTCAGCTTTAAAGGTCATAACCAACACCTTATGCTGAAACCGGAAACTGATAGGCAGCCACTTTAATACCGGAGTTATGTGGACCCTCCTAGATGTTCCTGAGACCACTCTGGCTGCCATATTTTTTACTAACTGAAGTTTCCGGACCAAGCATGAGTTTAGCCCCATGTAGAGCGCATTACAGAAATCAGACGGGAGGTTATCAGTGCGTGCACAACAGTCTCAAGGTCCCTTACTTCCAGGAAAGGGCACAGCTGGCGTATTATCCGGAGCTGATAACTGGCGCTCCTGACCGTTGCATTTACTTGATTAATCATCAGGACTGACGAAACAAGGAGCACCCCCAGACTGCGAATACAGTCCTTGACAGAGAGTGTGACCCCGTCCAGGACTGGAGGTTGCAACCCAATTACAGAGAAATATGGCTCTTGCTTGATCTTCTCTGTCTTCTTTTGTTTGTCCTTTCAAAAAGATATCATTAATTGAACATAAAAGTAACAAGCTGCTTGCAGAGGTAAAGGCAAAAGGAAAGTGATGGGTATAATCAGCATCTTTTTCTGGACTCTTTCAACAGCTACCAGGGAACTTTTTCTAATAACAAAACTGTGAATGCTGCAATGTTAACACAGATGTGAACCTGCAGGTTGCTTATTTTAAAAACCTGCCTGTCTTATCAAGAAATATATTACAATCAGTTTGAATTGATTATCTGTGATTGAGCTGAAATTGTAGAAATCTCTGCCCCTGGAGGCTGGAGGATAACTTCATGCTTTTCAAACAGTATTTTCACCACATGCTGAAGCCCTTGTTGAGTAATGTTAAGGCATTTTACCTCCAATTATTATTTGTTTCTGTTATCATTGTTCTGGAATGTTTATTATAGTTACATTTGTATATTACAATCAGTTTAAATTGATGATAGCTCTCCTGAGTCATGTGTAAAGATCAAACAACCAGGATATACAAGTTTATATACATTTCTAAAAATATTAGAAATTATGGAGGAACAGTACATGGGCCCTTGTTATATGCTGGGGTTTAGTTCTAGGACCCCTCATGGATAGCAAAATCCATGGATGCTCAAGTCCCATTAAATAAAATGGCATGATGAAATTATGTCCCTTATATAAAATGCTAAAAGGAAGGTTTGTTTTTTGAATTTATACATTTTAAAAATATTTTCAAACAGTGGATGCTTGAATCCATGGATAAAGAATCTGTGGATACAGAGGGCTGACAGTATGTGTTTTGTTCTGTCATAATTTCTAGTTCATGACTGAACTGGAAATTATAGTACACATGAAATCTAGGGATCTCTTTTATCACAAGATTGGTTTATTTAATTTGATCTACCAACAACCTTCCTAATCTCAAGTCTCTGGAAAATAAATTATAGGGATATAAATTGACCTGCAGAAGGAGAGAACTTTGCTCTGCTCCTAGTTCTGCTGATGAAAACACTTCTGTTACTGGAGAAAACTTAAGTAAACCCCCACCCCTTTTTAGAAAAAGAAATAGCACAGGAAAGGAAAGAGTAAAGAAAGAAAATCAGGTACCAGCTATTTTATACATAATTACGGTAGGTAATAGTGGCATGGGATGGCAACTGGTGGATGAACTTTTGGGAAAACAGCAGAGTCCTGCCACACCTTAAAGTCTATTAAATATGTTATCGGCTTTTCTGGGAGATCTTTAGAAGTTGGCTAGCCAGCTGGCAATTGGTTCCATCTGAACTGGCAGACTCACCTCTCACTTTGTTGGCACATGTGGAGAGAAATGGGAAGTAGCAACAACACATTATATAGATGATAGATGACACAATTTATCCACTGTGTAGAACAAATAGGCATGAATTTGTGCCTCATTTACATGACACGGTGGCAAGTTAAAAGCCAAGATAAAAATCACTTCACATGGGAGAACAGTCGAAGAGGATAGTCTTATGAAAGGATAACTCATAATTGTACTTTCGTTGTCACACACAGTCTATATAATGATGTTGCTGATAGTAATGGGAAGACAAGATATTGCTAAAAGAGGAAGTCCTACTTCAGTAATGTCCACAACTTTTTTTTGAAAATAATGGCTACATGAGCATTAATTTGTTGTACAATTATTGGGTGCTTGATCCCAGAAACATTTTTAAAACAACCTTAGTGTCATAATGGGCATAGAGGAAAGAGCTCACATCATTAATATCCCTTATTCTCATGAGGCTCCTGTGGAGGAAAAGAACTGCATTTTACCACATCAAAAACAGAGTATGGCCAGAACTGCAGCAATGGCCTATCCTTGCACAATCTCAAAATTATTACCCAGGCTATACGTCAGATCTTTCACTCTTTCATTTATACTGCAAAACTGATTATATGGGAAAGACCCAGAACTGAAAAAAACTCATTAGCCTGGCTTACTCCTCTCTTTGTGTAAGCAGAATTGTCCAGCATTACCATTAATATATTTTGCTATATAAGGAAAAATGAAAGTGGAATGAAAGAGATAAGTAATTTCAAAGAGTACAAAGTCCCTACGCACACAGGTAACAAAAGAGATGAGAACTACAAATATCACAGATAACTCACCTCTTCCTACATTATGCCTTTGCTAGTGTAAATGAGAATTTATTTTTCTTTTCCTTACAGAAAAGAGATAAAAATAGGTATTTAAAACATATATTTAACTGTATCTATTTTATGGTTTATAATGCTAATAGACACATATGTGCAAATATTAACTATTCTGGTTGCTTGTTTAGGTATGTGATTTACCTAAGAAAGTACACTCTCTGCATTGGCAGCCATTCACTTGTGAAAATAATA